GCGGCAGCAACCGGCCGCTGGGCGTGACGTCGCCGCCGAGGACACTATTGCCTGGCCAAGGGTGGTCGTAACGCTTCGTGAGATCGCCGACACGGATCGTCAGCTTCATCATCTTGTCGAGGACGCGCCCGCGGATGTCGATCGGCACCTCGGGGCGGGTCAATTGCAGTTTCGAATGGAACGACGAGAGCTCGTCCAATCCGTCGTAGACGGTGGTCGTCCGCATGGTGAGCGAGATATTGCGGAGCGTCTTGAGCATCGGCGCCAGCCAGACCGGGGCGCCGGGAGGGGCCTCGATGTGATCGAGCTTCATCAGGCTATGGACTTCCTTGACGCCCCCTTCACCAGGCACCGCCTGGAGCACGGCGAGGCCGCAGCCTTTGCCGCCGATTTCGATTCGCCAGGCAACGGGCTCGACCTGATTCGTCGGCCGGGTCGCGGGGGCGTCCCCTCGATAGAAGGGCGGTAAGATCCGGTCGGTGACGAGCCAGCTCATGGCGGCTAGCCAACCAACGATCACCACACCCGTGTAAAGCCGATTCCCTACCACCCCGGAAATCTCCGTAGAAAGCCGCAATCTAGGCCGACTGGAAGAAGCAGTCCGACGCCGCAACAGCCCTTCTTAGTTCCTTATAAACCAGCGAGCGGAGCGCACGTGCCCAGGAAAGCTGCCAGGAAGGAAGATTTCCCCGGAACCTCGCCGCCCGTTCGGTGATCCTACCCGGTAAGCCCCGCGACTGCGACCCGAACCCCCTCTTCAGGGGGTGGGCAGTGTGGTCTACCACATCTCGCAGTTCTGTTGGACGCCGGGGCCCAGATTGCGTAAACTGTTACCCTCAGGCTTTTCTTCCCCGAGTTACATGGAGGCTACTGCGATGCCAGGCTCGGTCTTTTACGTACAGCCTTGTCCCGCCTGCGGCCGTAATCTGCAGGTCCGTGTCGACTACCTAGGCAAAGGGATTGCCTGTCAGCATTGCAACGCAAGCTTCGTAGCGCAGCAGGCAACGCGTGCGCCGCGGGCTTCGGAATCGGGTCTCGCGCTGCTGGACCGCGCCGACGAACTGCTGCGCGCCGTTGAACGGCGTCGGCAAGAGATGGCCGCGGCGAATGCGGGTCGGTAATCAGGGACTAATTTTGGGTTTGGACCGATCCGCTACCTGACGGGCCCGGCTGGAACGCGCCCTGCTGATTGCTTGGGTTAATCACTGCTGCACAGCGCGTGCTAAGTCCTCGAAATAGTTCGGGTACGTCTTGGCGGTGCAGCTGGGGTTTGCGATGCGGACACCCTGTTGCTTGAGGCCCACGAGCGCGAGGCTCATCGCCATGCGGTGGTCGTCGTAGGTCTCGACCAGGGCGGGCCGCAGTTCGCCCGGTGTGATCACGAGCCCGTCGGGCTTCTCATCGACCGATGCGCCGAGACGGCGCAGCTCGGTCGCGAGGTCGGCGATGCGGTCGGTCTCCTTGTGACGGTTGTGGGCGACGCCGGTCACTTCGGTTGGCCCGTCGGCAAACAGCGCGACCGCGGCGAGCGTCTGCACCGTGTCGCTGATGGCGTTCATATCGAGAGTGGCGCCGCGGAGCTTTTCGCCCGGCGCGGGGCCGATCACTTTGATCCCGTCGGCAAGAGGTTCGACGCGACAGCCCATCTTCTCGAGGCAATCGACGAACGCCACGTCGCCTTGCAACGCGTTGCGGGTGAGGCCATCGACCGTGACCTCACCGCCGCAAATCGCCGCGGCGGCCCAGAAGTAGCTCGCGGCGGAGGCATCGGGCTCGATGGCGTAGTCGCGCGGCTGATAGCTCCCAACCGGCTCGATCTCGAAGCGCGAGAGGTCGTCGGGCGCCGAGACCTCGACGCCAAACGACCGCATGACATCGAGAGTCNNTACGTAGGGCTTGCTGACGAGTTCGCCCTCGATCTCGAGCGTCACCGGGCCGTCGGCGCAGGGACACGCCATCAGCAGACCGCTGAGGAACTGGCTCGAGATGTCGCCGCGCACCATCGCCGCGCCGCCCGGCAGGCCGTTGGCGTGGACATCGACGGGGGGGCAACCGCCGGGTGATTCGCAGCGCACTGTCGCGCCGAGCGCGTTGAGGGCTTTAACAAGGTCTCCGATCGGCCGCTCGCGCATCCGCGGCACGCCATCGAGCCGGAAGGCGCCGTGGCCGAGGGTCACCATCGCCGTGAGGAACCGCACCGTGGTGCCGCTGTTGCCGATGAAGAGGTCGGCTTCGATCGCCGGGATCTGACCCCCCGCGCCGGCGACTCGGAGCGTCGTCCCGTTGTCGGCGACATCGATCGGAATACCCAAGCGACCGAGCCCCTCGATCATCACATGCGTGTCATCGCTAACCAGCGCGCCGCTGAGCGTTGATTCGCCGTCCGCCAGCGCCGCGCACACCAACGCGCGGTTGGTAAGGCTCTTCGACCCCGGCGGCCGCACTGACGCGTTCAGCGGGCCGGCGACAGGCGTGATCTCGATCGAATCGGTGGACATGCAGGGAAGTCAATCAGGATTGGCAGGATCGACAGGATCAGGAACCTATTCGATAGATCCCGGCGACCCTGTCGAAGAAACTCAGGCGAGCCCCCGATGTTAATCGGGGGTGGAACCCGGAGACGGCGTGCCAGCTTCATTCAGCTTTCGACGTCGGCGCCTTTTCTTCAACGGGCTTCGCTTCAGCCGGTTTCGTCTCCGCCTCCGGCTTCACCTCAGGGGCCTCCGGCTTCGCCGCGTCCTTCTTCTTCGGCGTCAGCACCAGCCGCACCTCCGTCCCCAACTCGGGGATGCGCTCCGTGAAAGGCTCGAACCACAGCTCGTTGTTGCTCGCGCTGCTCGGCGCGGGCACGTCGAGCATCGCGGAGCCGAAGTTCGAGACGCAAATGAAGTCGCCCGCGTCGGCTAGGTAGTGCTGCTTGCCCGAATCGGGGTCGGTCCAGAAGCCGCTGCCGGCGAAGACGAACGGCAGTTCCATCGCTTTCTTGGTTTCGGCGTTGCGGACCCAGTCCTGAGCGCGGGCCTTTTGGGGCTTGCCGTCGGCGGTCCACTCGATGCTGACCTCGATCTCCGTCCCGGTGGGCGGCTTGTACTCGGGCTGAAAGCGGACGGGCGTCCCCTCCTCGGCGCCGACCAGCAGCAGCCCCGTATGGACTAGGTAGGCCTTCGTGTCGACCGCGACGACCGACTCGTGCTCCTTGGTCCCGGCGGGGCAGGCGAACATCTCCAGCACGCCCTCCCGCAGCACGACCTTGCCGTCCACCATCACACAGGTGCGGGCCTCGTCGATCCAGACGGGCGACTTGGGATCGAGCCGTTTGGCGTTCTCGGGGGGCTCCAGCGCCCAGGCCGGCGAAATGCCGACAGCGAGGCACAAGCAGGCGAATGTTTGTCGGCGAAGACTAGGAGCACGGCGGCGAGCTGGATAAACTCGGCGGCTTACGGGTCGGGTGTCTGAGTTAGCCATCTTCCTAGCTCCAGTTTCGGGCCCGCTCCGGATTCGGGCCGTTTCGTAACCGTCGGCCCGCATCTTAACGCCACCCCTTGAAGGATCGCCACGGTGTCGACGGCCCGCCCGCCCAAATCTTCGACCGACTCCCGCCCCCTGAGCAGCGCAATCGGCGCCCTCACGCAGTTCGACGCCAAGCAACTGTGGCGGCCCAGCGCTCCTGGCGAAGTCCGCGACGCCTGGAAAAAGAACGACCATGCAGCGGCTTGGAAGGCCTGGGCCGCGCACCTCAGCAAGCACAAGTCCAGCGGCCTGCACCTGGGGAAGAAAATCCCCGCGGTCACCTGGGGCATGAGCGCCGGCGCCGCCGAAGCACTGCGCGAATGGCTCCTCGAGGGCCCGCTCGCCAAGGGCCAGACGGCCGTCGCGGCTGCGCACCGCTGGGTCGCCGACGGCGGCGAGCGTGAGGCGGACCTCGTGTTTGCCCTCGAGTGCGTCGCCTGGGCGGCCGCGCTGCCCGAGCTCGCCGCCAGACTCGGCGCCGACGCTTGGTGGTCGCTCACCGAGACGCTTTACCAAGTCGCCCAAGAGTCCGGCGCCGCGGCCGCCCCGCCGTCGAGTGACGGGGAGGGAGAGTCGACGGAGTGCGAAGAGGTCGTCGTCGATCAACTGCTCTCCGGCGAACTCCCTCTCCTATTGTCCCGTCAGCTGGGCGACCTGCGCCCGTTGCACGAGTTGACGGACGGTTCGAAGAAGTCCCTCAGCGACGGCATCGAGCGGCTCACCGATGGCGAGGGGCTGCTGAGCGCGGCGCTGTGGATCGATCCCCGGATGCACGCCGCTTCGCTGCTGCTGGCCTGCTGGACCCGCTGCCGCTCGCTGGGCGACAGCAAGCCATGGACTAGCGACGCCCAGTCGCAGTACGAGTGGGTCGTGCAGCAAAGCCTCCGCATGGCCGACCGCTACGGCCGGCTGGCCTTCGCGCCGACCGACCTCGGCGGCGCCGATGAGTTGTTGCGGGAAGCCCTGCGGCTGGGTGGCGACGCCTCCGACAAGGCGGCCGCGGTGCTGCGTCTGAAGGGCTTCAAGGCCGACAAGTCGTTCGAAGAGCCCGAAACTTCGAACCATTCCGAGTGGGCCGAACTAGGCGTCCTGGCGACTGGCTGGCGCGACAAGGCGCCGCGGATCGTCGTCGCCCACCCGTCGGACACAATGCGGAT